CCAGAGCACTAGTTCCATTCGCTTCCCAGCCAACCGTAAACAGATTCGACTCGCCAACGGAAGACATTGCACGCAATTTTGGGTGAGCAGGATCTTGTGCACATCTCCATGCACTATTGTTTATTCATGCAGTGCACGGCCAATGTCAGCCGTTCAGGAGTCTCACGAATGCTACCCGTGTCTTTTGTTGAAGCAATGGAGTCGGTTCATGCCAGCACACATGGCGATTTCACTTGCATGAAGCAGGAGAAATTGGTATGACCGGAAATGAAGCGCTGTTAGCATTGCTATTCTCAACCTCATTACTGTTGGGTACTGCCGAAGGCTGGCAGTAGGCCTGTTACGGGGCTGCCTGGGATGAATAGCATACTCATGGCTTTGCAAATCTCCTCTGCTGTCCTTCCACCTGCCTCTCGTCGCTACAAGGTATTCAATACTCTACGATGTAGGTCAACTGTAGTGCCTCAACCCGCAAGACGCACATATGACGTGTTCTGAAGTAAGAGCAAAGACTCCCTAAGTCATCCAGCGTTCCTCAGCATGAAGACTTGCAAGCCAAGGCTCGTTTCCCTCATCTTCCTGCTGGTTCTCAGGCTTGGCCACATACCTTTTCACAGCCCCGGGCTTCTACGATACACGACGACTACGTATGTGTTGCTTCCTTTTGTTACTACTTGTGTTGTGTGGGGGGTGGGTGGGCGAGGGCATCGTTGGCTTGGGATGTCCCTTCAGAGGATGTCCGGTTATAACGTCTGACGCCTTCGTTCATTGACTGAAAGACCAATTCAACCCTGGATTCATCTTCGCCAAGTGTTATACAGTAACTAATTGACGTTGGTGAGCATCCAGGTTGCTGTATTCTGAAGGCTAGACACACTGGATCATGTTAGGCAGTACTGCATATACATGTTCTTAGGCATCTGGTCTCCATAGACGCTGCCGCTAGACCGAAACCATGTAACAGCCCACGCGCAGGAGTAAACTAGTGCTACTGACTAGCCTCCCAGGCGCTAGCTCAGAATCAAGTATGCACGATGTCACATGACTTTTGAGGAAAGCAGAATGCAAGCGTGGGATCGCGTCCCACAACTGCTTTTGGCTGCAACTGACACAGGCGATAGCGATCATCAGTCGAAGTCTACTTATAAAGAAGTACCGGGAACCACCCCGACAACTTCCTTTGGAGCTTTAAGTTTTTGATAATCGGACAGCCGCCACGCATCAGAGCATACCCGAGATAGAAGCTTAAATCCGAAGGATGGCAGGATTCTTGCAAGAGAATGCCAAGAGGACCCAGGGAATGAAACACCCCCCATCGCTTCGAGACGCCGGGTTCCAACTTTCCTTGGTGAAATGTGGAGATCGCTTCGGAGTTGTTGGTGCCAAGGCTGTTGGGTGCTTTTGGGATTGAGGTTGAAGGGCGTGTAAGGCTCTTGAAGAGTTTCGGGCTTTGGGTTGAAGGTCTCAGTTCGCAGGTAGTGCTTTCGGCTTCGAGGTTTCAGGGCTTTAGGGGTAGGCGAAACGCTGCCGGGATCTGGGAGCGACGCTCGCATCAGCAGTACGAGTAGTAGGGTTTCGGGTTTAGGGGTGATACTTCACCGTCTTTTTACTGCTACTACTACGACTACGATGAAGTCAGACGCACTGATGCAACGGTCTCGAATCTTCCTCTTGCGGGCAACACAACTGTAGAGAACTTACAACAGCAAAAACTCAAGACACCTACTCAGTGACTCCCCTTGACCTCTGTCGCAGTTGCACAGCCTCCGCTAAGCCGGTATGTGGTACTTGGGATTGCTTATGTCCTGCATATCCCAAAGGTTGTTCCGACTAAATTGCTCCATGCCCAGGTGCTGTTGGTCAGACTCAAAGGTGCTCTGCTGCTCGGGGGTAATCGCCTCGATCTTCTCGCCTGGTACTCTGATGATCTGAGATGTTTGGAGGCTTCAAGTTTTTCGGGGGTGCGAGCCGGTCTCGTGTTCAGGATTCATGACCTTAGCGCACCACTCCGAACGCCAAGCTTCGATCTAGTCTTTCCGGTGAACTTACCGCAACAATCTGCAACATACCTGCCGCAGGAAATCGAAGCCTCAAACAAGGTCATATGCAACTCATGCACTGAGCAAGTCTCGCCGTGCCTAGACAAAATTCATGGCTTCTCCCTGCGCATGCGCACCGAGGCACCCATGGTGACCTTCTTCTTGGACTTCCGCTTGACAGTCATTGGGGTTGTCGGTTCTTGTTCTTGGTCTGAGCTGATGGGCTTCGGCATGTCCTGCAAAAAGCCGGTTGTCGAGCGGAGGCTTAAGCAGTCACGGGCTGAGGGGATGGGGTGGTGGGTTTTATAGACACAGGTTACTTTTGCTAATCTGTTCCGGAGTTCAACGGTTCACTCCCACGTGACGGACCGGACTCAGCAGCTAGAGTAACCGAGACTTTTATTTGGCGGGACCGTTTCCGCCAGCAATTATTGTCGTAAGGCCACATCTGCCACTCTCCTAGTTCAAGAATCCAGAGCCCAAGTGTAAATCTTAGCTCAGAACCCATGCAGTCCTCTGGCATCTCTGATGCATGGTGCCGGTCCGCATCATCTCCTGTGCACTCCGCCCCGATGGAACCTCCCATGGTCACGGGCCACCTCTGCCGGAGATCTCGCTTCTTTCGGTTTCGATTGACTCACAACAAACAGGGCTTCAAGACTTAGCAAAGTTTCGGACAGCAGTCTTTAAATTAAGTCGCTCAAGCTTGTAAGCGTTCAAGGACTCAGGACACCTTGCAGTAGTCTGCCCCATAATAACACCAATAACTTGGGAGTCTCCCCCGCCCATTAACAGTCAAATACTACTTTCCCTATATGTACCACCCCAGAAAAAGCACAACTACTTGGAGGCCTCTGGAGTTTCCAGTTTTGGGGGGCCCCAACTGTTCAGCAACTTTTGGAGTTTGGGAATTGCTAGGCAGGCCCATCACTCCCAGCCACACCCAACCCAACCAACCCAACCAACCCACCAC